CTGCCAAATCACTATGACGTGCGCCTGGGGTGCCTTGGGAGTGCCCTGGGAGGGCTCTGGGAGGGCCCTGGGCCCTGAGCGGTTGCCAAATCACCGTGACGTGCGCCTGGGGTGCCCTGGGAGCGCCCTGGGAGGGCCCTGGGAGGGCCCTGGGCCCTGGGCGGCTGCCAAATCACCGTGACGTGCGCCTGGAGTGCATTGGGAAGGCCCTGGGAGGGCCCTGGGGGGGCCCTGGGCCCTGGGCGGCTGCCAAATCACCGTGACGTGCCTGGGAGGGCTCTGGGAAGGCCTTGGAAGGCCCTGGGCCTTGGGCGGCTGCCAAATCACAGTGACGTGCGCTTGGGGTGCCCTGGGAGGGCACTGGGTGGGCCCTGGGAGGACCCTGGGCTAACCTGGGAGGGCCCTGGGAAGGCCCTGGGAGGGCCCTGGGCCCTGGGCGGCTGCCAAATCACCGTGGCGTGAGACTGGGGTGCCTTGGGAGAGCCCTGGGAGGGCTCTGGGAGGGCCCTGGGCCCTGGGCGGCTGCCAAATCACCGTGACGTGCGCCTGGGGTGCCCTGGGAGGGCCCTGGGAGGGCCATGAGAGGGCCTTGGGAGTTTTGGAATCGCCACGGATCGTCGCTGGCGCGGCCAGGGGCGCCCTGGGCCCTGAGCGGCTGCCAATTCACCGTGACGTGCGCCTGTGGTGCCCTGAGAAAACCCTGCGTGGGCCCGAGTCGCCAGGAAACGTTTTTTGCAAGCCAGCTGATCGGGAGGGTCCATTCTGGAAAACTTTAGGGTTCGAGGTGGGGAAAAAAATGCCAGTCGCAATCCGTGTCTTTTAGCGATGTTGTGCTGGCGCTCCAGGGAGGAGCACGGCGCACGTCACGGCGAATAGGCCTGTAGTTTTGGGGTTATAAATCTCTTTGATGATCGCCCGGGCGGGCACAGGATAATCGCTTGCGCGTAAGCCGCATCATTGATAATGAGATAAGACCCTCGCGGGCCCTGCCTGACGGCAACCGAGACGCAACCTGGACAGGGCCTGTCATTCACGTTCGGCCGGGAGGTAGTCTGACTGCGAGGTGCCAGTGAGGGCGCTTGCCGCCTAAATGGGTGGGTGGATACGGGCCAAACGGCCCTGGGCGAGTTTAGGGTTTAGGGTTTAGGGTTAGGGCTAGGGTTTAAGGTTACGGTTAGGGTTAAGGGTTAGGGTTTAGGGTTAGGGTTAGGGTTAGGGTTTAGGGTCAGGGTTTAGGGTGTAGGGTTTTGGGGGTTAGGGTTTAGGGTTAGGGTTAGGGTTTAGGGTTAGGGTTTAGAGTTTTGGGCTAGGGTTTAGGGTTTAGGGTCAGGGTTGGGGTTGAGGTTAGGGTTTAGGGTTAGGGTTAGGGTTTAGGGTTTAGGGTGAGGGGTAGGGTTGAGGTTAGGGATTAGGGTTGAGGGCTAGGGGTAAGGGTTCAGGTTTAGAGCTTAGGTTAGGGCTAGGCTTAGTGTTAGGGTTTGCGGTCAGGGTTAGGTCTACGGTTAGGGTTTAGGCTTCGGGTTAGGGATTAAGGATTAGGGTTAGAGGTTAGGGGGTTCGGGGGGTCTGGCCCCCCGGTAGGGATGGGTTCCGGAGCCGGGGCGCGAGCCGGGAAGGGGGGGGTGGGGGCGGGGGGGTTCCCCCGACGACGGTCGGGAAAGGGGGGGGGGTGTTAGGGGGGGGGGGGGGGTTCGCCGACGACGGCTTCGGGCAGGGGGGGGGGGGGGGGGGGGTTCGCCGACGAACGACGGGCTGCTTCGGGCAATGGAGGGGGGGGGGGGGGGGGGGGGGGGGGGGGGGGGGGGGGGGGGGGGGGGGGTTCGCCGACGACGTGGCTCTGGGCGGCAAAAAGGGGTGGGGTGGGGGGGGGTGGGGGGGGGGTTTGGGGGGGGTTGGGGGGGGGGGGGGGGGGGGGGGGGGGGGTTTCCGACCCCCCGGCACCCCCCCCCTTTGGTGATCCAGCGGCGCGCCCTCGGTACAAAACCCAACCTGCAGCGTGGGGAACACAACACGAGCTTACGGGCCATGTGAAAACCTCGTGGCGCACGACACAACATCTGTTCCACCAGGCACGCGAGCTGTCACACGTCACGGCCTGCTGGATCAGGAGAAGTTTCTGGGCCTTGGGCGATGAACATGCTTCGACCTTCATGAGATTGCGGGAGGCCGTGCCACATGTGACTGCCCCCGAGAGCCTAGACAGAAGATCTGTAGCATGTTGCAGTCTTCTTTGTGGATCGCCCAGGTTGGCCACACAAACAAGTGCGCTGGCTTAGCGGGCCCTGGAAACGACAGGGCCGTTTTTTTACCGGTTCCGTGTTGCTGTTTTTTGACCGGTTCTGGCTCCGGTCTCAATCCTGGAGCCGTTTTTTTGCCGTTTCCGGTCGCTGTTTTTGTTGCCGTTTCCAATTCCAAGAGACATTTTTTTGGAAACAGTAAAAAAACGGCCCTGCCGTTTCCGGGGCCCTCGGGGGTCCTCTGACCCGGGTCAATCCAGACCCGGGTCAGTCAAGCCTTGCATGATCCTGCAAAACCCTGCAAAATCCTGCACCCAAACCCGGGTCAATGCGAAGGATCCTGCAAGATCCTGCAGGATCCTGCACCCAAACCCGGGTCAATGCGACCCTGGCCCTGCAGGATCCTGCAAGGTCGGGGCGCTCTGGCTGACCCCCGTTTGCACTGACCCCCGTCTCGAGGCTCCCGAGGCCCACAAAGTGCGCTGGCACCGTGGAGGACACTGTCGAGTGCGTCCCGATAGCGCATGCGTCAATGTATCTCACCAGCACGTGCAGGTGCCATCGCTCGGACGTCCATTCCCTGTGTCCTTTTCGGTTTCGTGCGTGGCTTTTTTTTTCGCCAAATGATCAAGAATGCTCCTCGATCAAGGGCTCCCAGCTTCGCGCTTCGCGCTGCGCGAAGCGCGAAGTGCGAATAACTTCGCGCTCTCGCGCCGCCTCCCAGGGGAGAAGAGGAGGATGAGGAATCGGAGCCGAACCGCGAAGCGCGAAGCGCGAATAACTTCGCGCCCTCGAGGGCGCCCTTGTCGATGGTCCTCGCCGAAGGAGAACTGCACACGTCCGAGCGATGCCGAGCGTACGGTGCCATCTCGCGTGCACGCTGCAGCGCCACGCGAGGTCGAGCAACGCAGCGCCGTTTCATCCACGGCGCCCCAGGGCTCCATGTCCTGACATGCCAAAGAGCGCCATACAGTCGGGGGCGTTGACCTAAGGAACCCTGAATAAGGAACGAGGCCCCTCCTTTCCCATATGTTAAACCTCGATTTCCCAGGGAACACCTCAGGAAAACCCGAGGCAAGCTGTGAAACTATCAAGGAACACGGAGCCCCTCCCCAACGAAAAGGATTCCTTCTTCAGGACCCCTACTGTATCACACCAGCACAACCCGCACAGCAAGCTCGTGTCGCGAAAACTTGCGCGCTGGTTTCTGTCAGTGTCGATCCTTCAACTTCGAGAGCGATTACATACGGCTCTCCTGTAGCGCCAATCATTCGATGTCGGCCGATTCGGGGACGCTGACGGCGCTAAACCTTGAACACCCGTGCTTGGGACGACGCCGCGTCGATGCGGTGCGAACCTGCCTGAACATCATACGTCGTCGAAGGAGGAGGAGGACGACGAGGAGGAGAGAGCAGGAGCAGGAGGAGCAGGAGGAGGAGGAGGAGGAGCAGGAGGAGGCGGAGGAGGAGGAGCAAGAGGAAAAGGAGGAGGATGAGGAGCAGGAGGAGGGGGAGGAGGAGGAGGAGGAGCAGGAGCAGGAACAGGAGGAGGAGGAGGACGAGGACGTCGACCTAGCGATCATACCATGTTAAGCCACACCGCATTGCATCGAATAGCTATGCACTGCGTCCGGGTTGAGGGGTCGAATTTCAGCCTGGCGCTTGGGACTCCGCATGATTGCCTCGAAGTCCCCAGGACCTTTTTTAAAAAAACTGCGGCTACGCGGTATTACCTGCAAACAATATGATAGCTCAACGACCCTTGGAAAGTCGAACTGGGCTGTTGCACGCCCTCCAGCTTTGAGCCTAGAATCTACGGAAGCACGCTCGATAATAGAAATATACCCCAAATGTATATCATGGGTCTGGCCTGTCACTTAGACAATATGTTTGAAAGGGCCTGCTGGCCCTTGCAGAAACAAGCAAATGGGACCGTGGCTCCTCTCGGGGCGGACGAAAGGGGGGATGGCATTGAAGGGGTAACGAACAAATTGCATGTTTATTCTGGGATGGAGCGTCGGACGTCCGCCGGATTTGAGTCGAACTTGCGTCGAACTTGAGACGAGCGTGAGCCGCGCTGGAATCGAGATCGAGTCGAGCTAGATTCAAAAGCAGAGTCGAAGATATCCGTTATTGGCCGGCACCCAGGAGGAGGGTGGCGCGAGCGGGGTGGGCTTCTGAGAGAGCGGCGGGGCTCCTGAGAAGGCAAGGGGGCCTCTTCGACGCCCGCCTGGCTTCTGAGGAGGAGGAGATGGAGGAGGAGGTGGAGGGAGGAGGGGGGGGGGGAGAGGAAGAGGAGGAGGAGGAGGATGAGGAGGAGGAGGGAGGAGGAGAGGAGGAGGAGGAGGAGGAGGAGGAGGAGGGAGGAGGAGGAGGAGGAGAAGCCTGCCCAGAAGCATCTGGGGCCTCCTAAGAAGCCCCCCTCCCTTCCAAGACGTCCCCCCGCCCTCTTGGAGGGGGGCTACCCCCCTCGCGCCACCCCCCTGTGGGCGCCGCCAAGCTAGGTGGGTACCAAGAAGGTCCCCGAAAAGAACTTCAAACATCATCCCCCCTCCTCCTCCTCCTCCTCCTCTTCCTCCTCCTCCTCCTGCTCCTCGTCGGCCTCCTCCTCCTCCTCCTCCTCCTCCTCCTCCTCCTCCCTCCTCCTCCTCCTCCTCCTCCCCCTTTTCCTCCTCCTTTTCCTCCTCCCAGCTTGGCCCAAGCTAGGTGGGCACCAAGAAGGCCCCCGAAAAGAACATCAAACATCAGTGTTCCCCTGCCCGTCCTTGGCCTTGTCCTGGAGCCACTCCCCGAAATGGAGGAGCCGCCAACAACAGGTCGTTCTCGGGGAAGTGCTCCAGGCCGTAAGAGCCGTGGTCCTCCTGTACGGAAGCGAAGTCTATACACGACGTTTTTTCTGGCCCTGTTCTAAAACTTGCAGCCAGGGAAGCGGATCCTGGTGTATGCGAGATCCTGGTGTATACATGTTCCGCTGTTTCCCCAGGGAAACGGGGACACAAAGTATACACCAAACCACCCCGACGCCGTCCCAGACCCGCAACAACAAGTCCTGGGATTGACAAGCAGCCCGCCGGGTAATATATATATATATATATATATATATATGTATATATATATATATATATATAAAAAGTATTCCTCTTCCTATATTTTTGCAAGCCTGGGCGGGGGGGAAACCCGTCCCCCCCCCCCAAAAAAAAACCGGACTCCCGGGATTTGGGGCTTTGGGACCCTTCGGACGGGCCTCGAAGCGGCCCCCCGGGCCTCGCAGGGCGTTTTGCCAAGCCTTCGCAGCACACCTAGGGCGATCAAGGTGGTCATCGGAGACGTCCTGGAGAACCCTGAGACAGCACAAGAGCGCTCCAAGAAGCCGTCATACCCCGAAAGATCGCTCCAAAACGTACCAAGAGGCCTCCAAGAGCACCCCCAAGAAGGCCCCAAGAGGGACAAATCATTGATTTAATTTAGGTTTTTGGTGAATTTGGGGTTCTCCTCTTTTCGGCTTCCCGGCGCTCCAAGACAGCGGTCTTCTGGGCGTCCGAAGTCGCCTGGGAGGCTCCAAAATCGCCCCACAACCATCCAAAAGGGTTTCCAGACAGTCCAAGAGAACCCCAAAATGGCCCAACAGGAGTCCAAAATGGCCCTAAGAGAGACCCATGGCGGCCCAAGATGGCCCCAAAACACCCTCCGAAGCATTCCAAATCGTGACCAGGGCGTTCAGGGAGACCGCGGTTAGAGGCAGGTTGGCCTTAGGAAGCCCCAGAGGCCCCCAGAACACGCCCAGGAGGCCTCCAGAAGGCTTTAAGAAAGCCTGAGAACTTTGGTGAGGCCCCCAGAGGCTCTCCAAGGAGGAGCCTCCACAAAAAGAGCTGAGGAGGATGAGGAGAATACCCAGGGTATGGCGAGAATGAGGAACAGCAAGCATGGAGGAAGGATAACGAACAGCATTATTATAACGACGATGCCAGAAAAGGCAGCAAGGAGTTATCGCTAAATTGTCCGCTTGACCTTCCTGCCATTTCCGCCTGCATACCAATCTTCAAGGACCAATGTGCATTGCGCGCAGCGCCACTGCAGTCTTGTACATTATATATATATATATATATATGTTCCAGTTTCCGATCCTGGTCGATGTGGAACCTCGGGAACAGCTGCTGCGCGAACACCAGCCTGCCGGGGCGGGCCCCCGCTCCACCCCCTCCCGTCGCGAGGCAAACATCGCGATGGAGGGTGTGTGCAGGGTTCAGGATTTCCAGGGACCCTCACCTGCTCCTCCTCCTCCTCCTTCTTCTCCTCCTCCTCCTTCTTCTCCTCCTCCTCCTTCTTCTCCTCCTCCTCCTTCTCATTCTCCTCCTCCTCCGCCTCCTCCTCCTCCTTCTCCTCCTTGGTTCCCAGTGTGACCCGCTTGCGCGCCGTTCCCGCTTGTGGTGCCCATGGCCCCACAGCGCACGAGCACAGCTTCTCACTGGGAGCTGACGGCAGTGGCCCGGCGTGCAGCCTGGGCCCGGGCCCTCTTCCCTACGCCAGCGCTCATGCCCACGCACCGCTGGGTGTAAGCTTTGTCAGTCAATCAGCCAGGCGCCCCCAACAAGCCTCGGAACCGTTAACAAACAGGAGGAAGGGGGGGAGGAGGAGGAGGAGGAGGAGGAGGAGGAGGAGGAGGAGGAGGAGGAGGAGGAGGAGGAGGAGTAGGAGGAGGAGGAGGAGGAGAGGAGGAGGAGGAGGAGGAAGGGGCCCATGGGGTCCCCGTCGGGAGAAGCCACGGCGCCGGAGTTCTGGGGATAGCCGAGGGGAGGGTTAGCGAATCAACTCACGCAGTTCTCTGGATGTCCCGGCGCCTCCCAGCCGACACCAGCTGCACGCAGACGATCTAATACCCCCCTTCCCCAGTCCCCTCCTCCTCCTCCTCCCCCTCCTCCACCTCCTCCACCTCCTCCGCTCCTCCTCTCCTCCTGCTCCTCCTGCTCCTCCTCGAGCTCCTCCCCCTCCTGCTTCTCCTCCTCCTCCTCCCCCTCCCTCCTCCTGCTCATCCTCCTCCTCCTCGTCCTCCTCCTCCTTTCCTTCCATCCTTCTCCTCCTCCTTCTCCTATTCCTCCTCATCCTCCATTCCTTTTACTCATCAATAACTTCTCCCTGTCGCACCCCGAAACCAGTTTTTAGGGCGGGCCTGGCGTTTCGCCCGAGACTTCCACACCATCTAGGACCCTGAAGCTTCAACATTGGCAGCAGATTCACAGATGGAGGGCGGGTCGTTTTCAAAATGTGGCTCTCGCCTTGGCACCGCGCACATTCGTTCTCAACATTTGCAAGAGTTTCACGGATTGAGGGGAACCCGTTTTCAAAATGTGGCTCGCCTTGGCGCCGCGCACATTCGTTCTCAACATTTGCAAGAGTTTCACGGATTGAGGGCGGCTCCTCTTCAAAATGTGGCTCTCGTATTAGCGCCGCGCACATTCGTTTTCAACATTTGCAGGAGTTTCACGGGTTCCCATGATCAAAGTTCCAGAAACGGCGTTTGGAAGGATTCATGATTATGAGGGTGCAACAGTTACGTTGATTCGCGGCGTGGAAGTCCCAGGATTGGCGTTCTGTCACGATTCAGGATCGTCAAAACGCAACAGTCAGGTTGATCCGTGGCATTGGAATCACAACAACGTTTGGCATGATTCAAAGTCTTCACACGGTTGTCTTCCAATGAAGCAGTTCCCTCAATGTAAATGAACCTCTTGTAGAGGCCTATGAAGCGGGAGCTTGGAGGGAGGGTCGATTCCAACATCGTTGATGACTCTTGGGTGTACACTGGTCCTCCTCCTCCTCCTGCTCCTCCTGCTCCTCCTCCTCCTCCATTCCCTTTTCCGTCGGACCCGAGCCTGACACGGCTCCGCTCCTTTACACTGACCTCTGCCATGGCCGCTGGGAACAACGTCTCCTCCTCCACCTGGGTCACGGTGCGGCCAAGCGCCACCTCCAAGGCCTTCGTGAATGGCTCCCTAGCCTCTGGCTTGAGCGTGGCAAGCTCGAACGACTCCTCCCGAGCGGAGCGGCAAGGGGAGGAGCACGAGGGTGAGCGAGGGAGGGTCGAATGAGAGAAAAAGGCATGCGCATACAATTGCGAAGCTCCGCGTGGATTTCCTTGGATCCGCGCTGGCCCTTCCCCTCCCCGGCGAGCGGACGGCGCCAAGGGGGCGGCGAAGAAGGCCTCGCCATAGGGGGCCCAACGCCGACCTGACGGATCCGTGCGGACATCCGAACGCTGCTGTTTGTGCAGATGTTCGAGTTCGGGAGCGGGGAGGAGGCGGGAGATGGCGATGTGGACGTCTCGCAAGCCGCGCCGCGATCAGACCAGGCGAGCGCGGGGCGTCGTTGACGGCGGCGCCTGGGGGCGCACCTTGTCCGCCACCGCGGCCCGAGGGCGCCGCTGATTCGCGGGAGAGCCTTCTTTCGAGCTCCCGCGGGCGCTACACCTCGGGCAGCTCGTGGGCCCGCAGCGAAGGTCACTTTGGCGAAGGGTCGCGTTTGCCCACGTGTGTTTTTTTTTGTGCGTGTGTGTGTGTGTGTGTGTGTGTGTGTGTGTGTGTGCGTGCGTGCGTGTGTGTGTGTGTGTGTGTGTGTGCGTGTGTGTGTGTGTGTTTTGTTTGTGTTTGTTTGTGTTGTTTGTTTTTGCTGTGTTTGTGTTGCTGTGTTTGTTGCGTGTGCTTTTTGTGTGTTGTCTTTGTTGTTGTGTTTTTTTGTGTGTTTTTCCCCCCCCCCCCCCCCCAGCGGCTCAGGGCGACTCGGGCACCCCCGAAGCGCTCTCGGCGAGGCACAGCTGCCGGAGAGAGCACCCCGAGGCCGGAAAACCGCCGAGAGCAGAGGAGAACAGCCCAAACCCTCGATCGTGAATACAGAGCAAAAAATCCACCCCCATAATAAGCGCCCCGACAAGCGAAGCCGTTTAGTAAACGCACCCGTGGAAGGAATCGAAACGGGCAGGGCTGTTAAGTAAACGCCCAGGGCTGTTTAGTAAACGCGAATTGTCGGGGTCGGGGTGGTTTTTCCACCCTTGAGTGAAGCATGAATCGCACGTGCAGCCGAGAGATGGGGACGATGGCGAGGAGGGCTCCTCCCAAGACGCCGGCCTGCCCCTGGCCACGCAGGTCGAGTGCGCCCCGCTCCGGAGCACGTGGGGCGCGCTGGCGTGCAGCTCCCGGAAGCACTGCTGGGCGGCGGCCACCTCCTCGGGGTGGTGGAGAGGCGAGGCCGAGGGAGAAGGGAGGATGTAGGAGGAAAACAAACCTACCTCGCTTTTGACCACCCTCGCTTCCAAGAGATACCAAACGATGCCAAACTACGGCCTGTACTGGTCAGGCCGCCTGACAAGGAGGCGCGTGGTATGGCTTGGTTTTGTCTGGAAGCGAAAGCGGGGGAGGTTATTCACGCTCTGAGGATGGGGAGGATTGGAAGAACAGCCCCCACCACCTCTCGCCGTGCGAAACATCGCGGCGGACGGTCTTTAAGCATCGATCTCCAGCGGCCCTTGCAAGGCCCCAGGGCCGTCAGAGAGAGCCCTGGGAAAGCAGAACACAGATTGACCACAGACACTTCCACCTTCGGAGTGGGGCCCGAGGCGTTGCCGCCAGGCGGAGCAGGAAGGGAAGGAGGAGGGAGGGCAGCGGCGGCCACAGGAGGGCTGGGGGAGGAAGACGAGGGTGGAGGGGAACGAGGAGGATCACGAGCGTGGAGGGTGGAGGAGGATCACAGGATGAGGGCGGAGAGGGAGGAGGAGAGGATGGGAGAGCGTCCTGTACCCACCTCCGGAAGTCTGCGCGGCACTCTTGGGCGCTGCGCTGGGCCCCCCTCCCTATAATTACATCCCTGGCGGTGCCTCCCGTGCCGCCCCTGTCGCTCTCCGCGCACCGCTCAAGGGGGGTGGGCAAGCAGGTGTCCAGCGCCGACCCGAGAATCGGCGGCGAGCGAGGGGGGAACTTACCCCCCTCGCTCGCCTTCTGAGGGGGCCTCCTCCTCCTCCTCCTCCTCCTCCTCCTCCTCCTCCTCCTCCTCCTCCTCCTCACTTCCCGGAAGCGAGGATGAGGAGGCCCTCTCAGAATCTTAGAAGGCGGCGGGGGGCTTCTCAGAAGCCCTCCGGCCTTCTGGGAGGTTCTCCGTGTCTTCGGGGAAGGCTTCGGAAACCTCTCCGAAGGCCAGGGGGACTTCCGAGCCTTCTGACAAGGCCCGCCCCCCCTCATTTCCCCCCGGGGCTCGCCGCCGGTACATCCACGTCCACCGCCTGTGGAACCGACGTCCTCGGACCCCTTCCAGCGGTGGATGGGGATCTGTTTTGGCCCCAGGGGGGCCGGCTATACATTCATGCCCGCCGCCTGCCGAGGCCTCCGAAGATCGATCCCTCGGGCGGACTTCCCCCCCCGGGCTGGCCGCCATGAAGACGTCCGCGCGGACCTCCGGACGTGCATCCGTGTGGCTGCGGCTGGTCCCTGCCGTGCCGGCGCAGACGCTGGCCTCGGACTCCGCGCAGATCGGAGCGATCTCCACGGTCCGACCACGGGCATCGGTCATGATGGGCCAACCTTCCACCGCCCCTGCCAGGAGGTAGGACGGGGGAGAAGGGGGGATGGGGAGGTCCTCCTCCTCCTCCTCCTCCTCCTCCTCCTCCTCCTCCTCCTCCTCCTCCTCCTCCTCCTCCTCCTCCCCCTCCCCCCTCCCCCTCCCCCTCCTCCTTCCCCTCCTCCTCCTCCTCCTCCTCCTCCTCCTCCTCCTCCTCCTCCTCCCTCTTCTATCTATGGCAGTGGCGGTGGAAGATCGGCCCACCATGCCCGACAGCGGAGATCGTGCATGGTCGGCCTGGCTCAGGCCGCCGACGGCTCCCAATCTTGGGCGCCCCTGCTGGCGTCGCCGCCGTGCCGGCGCGTCACGGAGCCTGCAGCCGTGCCGGCGCGACGCGGTGCAGATGCGCGCGCGGGAAGGAATCTTCGACGCTGGCGACGCTCGCAGGTGCAGTCGGGGCGTTGACCTGAGAAACCCTAAATATAAGGAACGAGGCCCCTTTGTGTCCCAGAAGTCAGACTTCGATTCCCCATCGAAGCCCTGAGCAAAACCAGAGGCGAACTGCAAAACAGCTAGGGAACACCGAGCCCCTCCCCAACGAACAGGTTTCCTTCCTCAGCGCCCCGACTCTACGACGGCGAGGCGGAGGCGGAGGCGGAGGAGGAGGAGGAGGAGGAGGAGGAGGAGGCGGAGGAGGAGGAGGAGGAGGAGGAAGAGGAGGAGGAGGAGGAGGAGGAGGAGGAGGTGGGGCCGAACCTCCGGCGAGGTGCCGACCCCGGCGGCCCCACACGACGTGCGGGGCCGGAGTGCGCAGCGGCGGTGATCCCGGGGCAGCGCTCCGAGGCGCCGCGCGCCTCCGGAGCCCGTCCACGGCCGCGACACCGAGCCCCCGCTCGGCGGCCGAGGTCTGGCCCTCAGAACGCGCGTGTTGGCGCCAACGTGCACGTGTGCACCGAACTCGCAGTGCAGGCCATCACAGGCTGCTTGCTATCGGTGGGGGCTGAACGGGCCCACTACCACACATTCACACACACACACAGACACACACACACACACACACACGCATACAGACACACAACACACAGTGTGCTGGCAAAGAACGTCGCAGCAAACGCCAGAAGAGCGCTTCCGGCTAAACCCAGCCGCGCCCAGTTACACCCACTTACCCGCATCCAGTTGCACCCAAGTGCGACGATTGATAGGAACAAGGAAAAGCGACACCAACACCACCAGGGCGAGGAGATGTGAGGAGGCACGGGGGGTCTTCCTGGTGGTGTGGTCCCCCCCTCTCGCTCGAGACATCCCCAGCCTCCAGCTCGGGGAGGCATCGTGGACCTCCTCGCTGGAGGTGGGCCACCTGGTGGTATTGGTATCGCTTCTCCTCCCTCCGAGATTGACACCCAATCACGCCCAGATGCATGTGCTTTTCACAGGCCTCCACCGAACTGCCGTAAAGTTCCGATCTGATGCTGCAAGAGCGCTGCGCAGACGGCCGCAATTAAATCCGAATGAGACTGCGTGCGCCCCTCCCCTCGGAAAACCCACAAGGGAACTTATATTCGGCTAGACGCAAGAAAGACCCTGGGCAAGAGTGACCTTTGGTGCGCGGTTTTTTGGGCGCCGCGGGGGGGCCAAACACAAGCGTGCAGGCCGCTTACATCGCAATCGTGCTCGGCGATCGGGGGACCCCAGTGGGCCCGCACCAAAGGTCACTCCGGCGAAGGGTCACTCTTACGGGTAGTCGAACGAACAACGACTTCTTTGTACAGGGCTTCCCCCCGGGCCTCTGGCATCCCGCACAGGCCAGACCTCGACCCTCGATCCTCGTCGACACCTCGGATCTCGTCCTCCGATCACCGCCAAAAACCCGATCCTCGAAGTCCACCCCTCGATCCTCCTCAAAACGTAGACCCTCGATCATCGTGAACAACTCAATTCTCGGCATTCGGCCATTGAGAAGCATTCTCAACGCCAACAACCCCACCATCATAATAATAATCAACAGCATCAGCATCAGCATCAGCGTCAGCATCAGCGTCAGCATCAGCGTCAGCATCAGCATCAGCATCAACATCAGCATCAGCAGCATCATCATCCTCATCATCATCATCATCATCATCATCATCATCATCATCATCATCATCATCTCATCATCATCATCATCATCATCATCATCATCATCTCCATAATCATCATCGTCATCAGCACCAGCATCATCAACACAACCAGCTGTATCACCATCAGCATCATCATCAGCATCATCACCATCATCAGCATCATCCATCATCATCACCACCATCATCATCACTGGCCATTGAGAAACATCCTCAATCCCAACAACCCCATCATCATAATCATCATAAACAGCACCAGCATCAGATTCATCAACAGCATGAACAACACAATCATCATCACCATCATCAACACCATCATCAACATCACCATCAACATCATCAACATCATCACCAGCATCATCACCATCATCAACATCATCATCATCATCATCATCATCATCATCAATATCCACATAAGAATTCATCATCCGTAATCGGATGAACCCGCGCAAAGCCGCGGGATCCATCAGGGGCACAGCCATCGGAGGCCAGAGGGGACCATGGGAGGCCCCCATCGCGCCCAGCGCCGAAGCTGCGGGAGGCTGAGGGAAATTCTGCACGCTGGGCTAGCTCCGTATAGAAATTCCTCCTTGTCTTCCTCCTCCTCCTCCTCCTCCTCCTCCTCCTCCTACTGCTCATCATCATCATCATCATCATCATCATCATCATCATCAGCATCATCATCATCATCATCATCATCATCATCATCATCATCATCTTCATCATCATCATCATAAACAGCATCACCATCATCATCATCATCATCATCACCATCAACATCATCATCATCATCATCATCAGCATCAGCATCAGCATCAGCATCAGCATCAGCATCAGCATCATTATCATCATCATCATCATCATCATCATCATCATCATCATCATCATCATCATCATCTTCATCGTCACCATCGCCATCATCGGAAATTGGACAGAAACCGCGCGGAGTCGTGGGATCCATCAGGGACAGACCCACTCGGAGGCCAGAGGAGGCCATGAACGCCCCCCTCGTCCAGCGCCGAATCTGACTTGGGGGTGCGGGGACTGGGGGGGGGGAAACGTGTGCAAAAAGCTGGTTTTGAACATAATCTCCCCCTTCGTCATCATCATCACAATCATCATCAGCATCAGCATCATAATCATCATCATAATCAGCGTCATCACCACCACCACCATCATCATCAGCATCATCATTGTATATTTGCCACCATCGTCATAAGAGCAATACTGATAAGCATCATCGACATCATCATCAGCAGCATCACCATCATCATCATCAATCATCAACGTCACAATCATTATCATTATCATTAGTACCACAATCATCATCATCACAACCATCCACAATCAGCATCATCACCATTCCCCATCATCAATATCCTCACCACCCTCATCATCATCATCATCATCATCATCATCAGCATTATCATCATCATCACCACCATCACCACAATCATCATCGTCGTTGTCAATATCGCTCGCATCGTCATCTTCACCGCCATCATAGGCATCGTCACGGACATCATCATCAACATCACCATCACCACCATCACCATCACCA